TTCCCAGCCCCAATTCTGGCTTTTTGGTAGGTAAAAGGAAGAGTCTCACACACTTTCCTGACAGCTGATTTTGAACCTGGATCTTCAGATCTCAGCTTCCCGAGTAGCTAGGATGACAGGTGTGAGCCACGGGTGCCAGGAGAATTCTAGACTTTATATGGCATGTGAGGGGCTGATGACAGCTACGTGGCAGAGGCCCACGGGTGTGCAAGGCCCTGGGTTCCATCCCTACCACGGCAAGAAAAGACGAAAACAGCCAGGCATCGGTGGCTCACGCCTGTCATCCTAGCTACTCAAGTATCTGAGATCTGAAGATCAAGGTTCAAAGCCAGCCCGGGCAGGAAAGTCCATGAGATTCTTCTCTCCAATAAACCAGCAAAAGCCAGAGCTGTGGCTTAAGTGGTAGAGCACCAGTCTTGAGCAAAAAAGCTCAGAGACAGCGCCAAGGCCCTGAGTTCAAGCCCTAAGACACACACACACACACACACACACACACACAACACACACACACACACACACCTTGGAACTACATGGAAAAGTTTAGCTCTCCATGTCAAAGAACCATTAGCAAAGGCTCTGCACCCCACCTCTCCCCAGAGTGACACACACAGGAAATCTTCTAGTGGGAGCTGGTAATGTCCGCCTGTAACCTCTTCACTTGAAAAGCTGAAACAAAATAGAGTAAATTCTTCCTGATTCGCAACTTCAGTCTATTTATGTCTCTGTTTGGGCAGGAAACTTGTATCTTTTTTTAAACCTCCAGAGGGGAGGGACTCGGTATGGGGTTCCTGCTTGAGTGGCCTCAAAAAATAAAATAAATAAAATAAAAATAAATCCTGGCCAGACTCCATGGCTTACATTTATACTCCTGGCTACTCAGGAGGCTGAGATCTGAGGATTGCAGTTCAAAGCCAGCCTGGGCAGGAAAGTCCCTGAGCCTTTTTTTTTTTTGGTCGGTTGTGGGGCTTGAATTTGGCCTGGGCGCTGTCCCTCAGTTCTTCAGCTCAAGGCGAGCGCTCTACCGCTTGAGCCACAGCACCACTTCCAGTTTTCTGGTGGTTCATTGGACATTAGAGTCTCATGGGCTTTCCTCCCCTGGCTGGCTTTGAATCTCGATCCTCAGATCTCAGCCTCCTGAGTAGCTAGGATGTCAGGCTTGAGCCACTGGCGCCCGGCAGAAATCAGCTTTTTTAACCCAAGGAACGTTTTGGTTTTTGCCTAGTTTTGTTGTGGTGGTAGTAGTGATGGTGCCTGGTCAGAATCTGTTTGTGAAGTTCCAGAGTCCTTCACCCAGTGCTCAAGCCACGAGGGGGCTGGACAGAAGGCGGTGCCCTTGCCAGGCACCAGGGGCTCATGCCTGCCATCCCAGCTACTCAGGAGGCTGGGATCTGAGGATCCCGGTTCAAAACCAGCCCGGGCAGGAAACTCTGTGAGACTCTTATCTCCAATGAACCTCTAGAAAACCAGAAGTAGTGCTGTGGCCCAAGTGTTAGAGCACTGGCCTTGAGCTGAAGAGCTGAGGGACAGCGCCCAGGCCCAGAGTTCAAGCCCCACCACCACCACCAACAACAACAAAAGGCAGTGCCCTTTCCTGGCATCTGCACAGCCCCAGAGCCATTCCTCAGTTTCCTTTCCAGGCAGCCGTCGCCTTCTCCACTCAGATCATCTGCACAGGAAACGCTGCCCACTGCAGCGCAGGCCTGGCCCTCGCGCAGGGCTTGCGGCTCCATGAGCTCATGGAAAAGCCAGAGCCTCTGTGTCACAGTCCCCGAGGCCTCCTGAGCACCTGGGGCTTGCAGACACCGCGCAAAATGCTTCTGGCCAGACCAGTGTGGTGGCACATTCCTGTAATCCCAGCCCTCCAGGGGCTGAGGCAGGACAATCCTGAGTGCCAAGCCTGAGGCGCACAGCAAGATGCCCGCTAAGCTACCCAGCTTCCCAGGTGACAGAGAGCTGAGGGCTGCGGTTCCAAGCCAGCCCAGGAAGGAATGCCTGGGAGACGCATTTCCAATGAATCACCCAAACAGCCGGAAGTGGAGGTGTGGCTCAAGTGGTAGAGGGCCAGGCCTTAGTGATAAAGCTCAGAGACAGCACCCAGGTAGAGTTCAAGACTCAGGACTCACATACACACACACACACACACACACACACACACACACCTCTTTCCACTGGTGACTATGGTTCACCTAACTCAGATAAAGATGCCATTCCATGGCCAGGTGCCAATGGCTCACACCTGTCATCCTAGCTACTAAGGAGGCTGAGATTTGAGGATTGTGGTTCAAAGCCAGCCCAGGCAGGAAGGTCTGTGATTCCTATCTCCAATGAATCACCAGAAAACCAGAAGTGGCGCTGTCACTTGAAGTGGTAGAGCGCTAGCCTTGAACACAAAAGCTCAGGCACAGCATTGATGCCCTGAGGCCAAACCCCAGAGGGACAAAAAAAACCAAACACCAAAGATGTGATTCCAGATCAGAGAGGTTATGCATTTACCTAGAGTTACACAGTTACAACTTCCTGGTGAAGACCCCAGGTGTTTTATTTATTTTCTTTGTTTGCGGCAGTACTAGTGTTTGAACTCACAGCCTCCTGCTTGGTAGGCAGGTGCTCTACCACTTGAGCCATACTCCCAGAGCCTTTTTGTTTTGGGTTGTAGGGCCTGAACTCTGGGCCTGGGCGCTGTCCCTCAGCTCTTCAGCTCGAGGCGAGCGCTCTACCACTTGAGCCAAAGTGCCACTTGCGGCTTTTTCTGCTTATGTGGTGCTGAGGAATTGAACCCAGGGCCTCATGCATGCAAGCCAAGTGCTCTACCACTGAGCCACCTTCCCAGTCCCGCCCTGCCCCCCCCCCTTTTTTTTTGCTTTCAATTATTTCTTAGCTTTGGCCTAGGGCCAGCCCCAGACTGATTCTTCCACCCATACCTCCCTCAGCAATATAACTGCTTGCATGCAACCACCTGCAACACACCGCCTCATAAATGTGACTACAGGCACGCACCACCACACTCGGCTTGCTATCTGGATAGGGTCTGAATAGCCTTAGGTGACTGGCTCCTGATCTCCAACCTCCTGAGTGGCTGGGATTACAGGCAAGATCTACTGTGCCCACCAAGGCTTTTGGTTCTGGAGAGATGGGACAGTTTCAGAGCTTGGGGGGGTGGGGAGGGGACTGAGGACACGGGTCACTGGTGGAGGAGGTGATGCCTGACTTCAAGAGACAGCTGTAGTTTCCCTCCTAGAGGGAAGTAATGAAGCGTCCGGGTGGTGTGTTTGCAAATCAGTCTGCTGGCGCACACCCTCCCATCCAGTCTTCCCACCACCAGCTCAATTCCAGCCCTCAGACACTTAAAATAACCCCCTAGGAGCCTTCCACACGCCCGTGTCCTGGTTTTGCTTCACAACCTTAAAACAACCTACAATTACATATTTATTCTCCCATCCACTCCCTGCCATCGCACATATTTCTGGTTCATGGGTTGCTGTGCCCCTAACTCCTGGACCAGCTCAGTAAGTACTTGTTGATGGGACCTGGGGTGAGGTACGGCTCTCATCTAGCGTGCACAAAGCTCTGGGTTCGATCCCCATCACTGCAGAATACAACTTGTCCACCCAGAGGCTAACTACCATCAGGCTGTTGGGCCCATCGGGGCAGTGGGTTTCCCGTCCTGTCTCCTGGATCAACTCGGCTGGGCTTGGAGAGTATTTGTTGAATCCCATCCCCCTGGCTCAATCCCATTCTCTGGCCAAATTCAAGGCTAGCTGAATCATGCCATCACTAGCCCTCGCAGCCAGACCCCAAAGAAAAAGCCTTGGCCAGAACCCCAAGCTGAGACTCCCACAGAGACAGCCAGCCACACCCAAGAGACTGCACAGCACTCACCACCACCCCCCTTGTGATTGAAAAGACCAAGAGTCAGGGCGCCCCTGGGCAGTCTGGGCTGGGCGGGAGGAGGGTTCTCAGCTTTACCAGCAGTCCCCAGGGGCCACAGTCCCCGCCCCCCCGGGGGAATAGGGGGTGGGGTGCTCACACTACTTGTTTCTCCCTTCCTTCCCAGCAGCTTCCGGCCCCCTCCCTAAGGTTCTGGAGTCCAAAACCCTCAGGAAGTTTGTGTCACCCAAAGGGGTAAGGTGGGCTGGGGGGGGGGACGTCCCCTCTGCCCCAGGGCAGCGCCCACTTGATTCTTGGAGCTGAATTTGGATCCTGGGAACCCACAAATGGAAGAGAAAGGAGAAACTGAGTCAGCACGCCTCCCCCCCACACCCCGTGGGAACAAGGGGCCACGCGCAGCACCGTGGAGCTGCATCCTGGGGGTGATGGCCTCTCAGGGGGCTCAAGGAGGGGAACTGCAAGTCTGATGGACCGCCCCCCCCGAAAACCAGACGTGGTCCCCACCCCACCCCCAGTTCCTTTGCACAAGGCAGGCAAAGTTTCTCAATTGTTTCCGGCTTCTGCCCGCCCCCTTCTCACCAGAGGCGCCCCGGTTTCCGCCCTCCCCGGGTCCCGGCTACACCGGATGAGCTCCTACCCCAGGGTTGGTCCGGCCCCGTCTGGCCTCAGTTTCCCCATGTGGATACAAAGCCCGAGATCGCTCCTTAGGGGGAGGGTATGGGGAAGGGGGGGGGGTCTGGGGAGGAGAGAAAGGGGGACAGAGAGGTCTAGAGGAGGAGGAAGGGTTTGGGGAGGTCGAGGCCCGGTGCGTTTTCCCCAGCCCCACCGCCTGGCCTCCCCTCCCCCGCCCGCCATCTGGGCCGCCCAGATAACGGGACCTCCGCGGGCGGAGCATGCGCCGTGCGCCCCGGCCCAGAACCCGGGAGAACCGGGCTCCCCGGGACCGGGGACCGGAGGGGTGCGGGGAGGGCCCGGCCGGAGCAGGGCGCGCGGGCTGCAAAGGCAGGCGGGCGGAGGGGGCGGCGCGGCTGCAGCGGGGGGGGGGGGCTAAGGCCTCACCGTCCCCCCCCTCGTGTCCCGCGACTCCAACCCAGCGCGGACGCGAGCCCTACCGTAAGCTCCGTCCTTCCGATCGTCCTCCATGGCCGCGGCGGGCGGGGAGCCGAGTCCCAGCCAGCGCGACCCCAGCCCGGGCCCGCGGGAGGCTCGGCGGGCTGCAGCGCCCCGCCCCGGGCCCGGCCACGCCCACCCGGCCTTGACAGACCACGCCCCTGAGCGCTCCGGGCCAATCCGGGCCCAACTCTCGGAGAGGGCGTGTCTGGGCCGGGGCGGGGCCGGAGGGTGGAGCCCAACCTTTGTTTCTAGCCTGGAAACAACAGTGTGAGTAATGCACCGGTGGACAGGAGAGGTCGACTGGCCACTCATTCATTCATTCATTCATTCATCCCTCCTTTGGTGTTTTTGTGCGACAATTGGGCGCTGACCTTGCCTGTAAACACACACAGAAATATATCATTTTTTTTTTTTAATCCGTGATGGGACTTGAACTGAGGACCTGGGCGCTGTCCCTGAACTCTTTTGCTCAATGCTAGCGCTCTACCCCTTGAGCCACAGCGCCACCGCCCGTTATCTGGTGGTTAATTGGAGATAAAAAAATCTCACGGACTCTCCTGCCTGCGCTGGCTTGGCACCTCAGATCTCAGCCTCTTGAGTAGCTAGGATGACAGGCGTGAGCCCCCAGCGCCCCCCAAGATGTCGTGTTTTAATTCATCATATTAGCAAGAACCTGAGAGTTTGGTCAGGTGCCATTGGCTCACCCCTGTAATTTTAGCTCTTCAGGAGCCCAAGCTCCAAGGAGCCTAGTTCCAAGCCAGCCGGGGAAGAGCAGTCCATGAGACTCTTACCTCCCACTAACCAGCATAAAACTGGAAGTGGCGCTGCAGCTCAAGTGGTAGAGCACCAGCCTTGAACACAAAAGCTCAGGCACAGTACCCAGGCCTTGGGTTCAAGGTCCACTCAGAATCAGAAATTTGATAACAATGAATGAAAATGAGCAAAAAAATTCAAGATGCAGCGTCTCTGAAAAGAAGATGAAGAACCAATCCCATTCAACTTCCTCTGCCATTAGCACAACAGGCGTGGGCACATGGAGTGTGAATGCCTTGGGGGCCACAGGCAGCCTCGACTGGTACTGTAAAAAAGGAAAAAGATGGGCTGGGAAGGTGGCTCAGTGGTAGAGTGCTTGCCATGCATGCATGAGGCCCTGGGTTCAATTCCTCAGCACCACACGAGCAGAAAAAGCCGGAAGTGGTGTTATGGCTCAAGTGGTAGGGTGCTAGCCTTGAGCAGAAGAAGCTCAGGAGCAGTGCTCAGGCCTTGAGTTCAAGTCCAAGGACTGGCAAAACAATAAAAAGTTGAAAATATATACAGACTTCAACAGGAAAGTGGATCCAACAGTACACACAAGAGGACAATAATCTGGGACACACACACACACATATTATATATACACACACATATATAGAGAGGAACCTAAGCAACTCCATTTCACTTAAGACCCTCATCTCAGTTCTGCAACTTAACCCTTGACCCACGTCAGCCCCTGCCTGGAATTACGATATCTGAAATTCCAGAGCTGCCCCTCCTAGGGTCTGGTGACAAATTATCTAAAGCAGACACTCTGCAGTTTAGCACCTGTCCTCTTGAGACTCCCCTGTGGTGAAGCCAACCAGTTTAAAGTATGTCAGGCCCCCTTGATCTAACCAACAACTTGTTTCTGGTCCTTTCTCACTTTGTAGCGCGCCAATCATACTATAGAGTTGTTTTATGATTTTCCCGTGGTTTGCAGTCATTAGTTACAAGAAGTTATGATGTATGCAAAGCCCCTGCCTTCCCTAAAAAATGTATAAAAAGAGCTGTAACCCTGGGCTCGGGGCCTCTCCGTGTCATGGGCTGCTGCCATGTACGACGCGGCTTGAGCTTGCCATACAGACTCCTTTGCTTTTACATTGGTAACAATCTCTGGTTCTGGTGGTCTTTTGGGTATGGATTTCCGAATTCGGCTTTACAATATATATGCCAGAGCACCTTAACTCATCACAACCCAGAGCAAGGCAGAATTGGAAACCCAGGCCACGGAACTGGTTTGGGGGCACCAAAGGGGCCTGTGGCAACAGGCACCCTGCTAACAGGTCTTTATTGGCTTTGGGACAGGGGAGTACGTGCAGAAAGTAAGGTAGCAATCTCTCTGAAGTTGCAGACACCAGCACGTGAAAGCATCCTATGATGATGTGACTCCCTTATCTTAGGAAGCAGAGGCAAGCAGCAACAACCACAATGCATAAGCTTTTACCTAACTCCAAGGTCCAAGAAAGTCTGGGTTCTGACTAATCACAGTTATGGTAGAATCTTGGGTCTCTGTAATGCTAGGAGCCATTGAACTTTCTCGGGCCAGCCTTCTGAGAGTCAGAGAATAACATTCCAATTCTTTTTATTAGATCTCAAGGTTCAGCAGTCACAGATTCACACACACACACACACACACACACACACACACACACACACATACAGGTATGGGGGCTGGGAAGGTGGCTCAGTGGTAGAGCGCTTGCCTTGCATGCATGAGGCCCTGGGTTCAATTCCTCAGCACCACATAAGCAAAAAGAAAAAAGCTGGAAGTGGCGCTGTGGCTCAAGTGGTAGAGTGCTAGCCTTGAGCTGAAGAGCTGAGGGACAGCGCCCAGGCCCAGAGTTCAGGCTCCATGACTGTACCAAAAAAAAAAAAAAATTTAGGTATGTATATGTACATATACATACCTAAAAATATATATATATATATATTTTTTTTTTTTTGGTTGGTTGTGGGGCTTGAGCTCAGGGCCTGAGCACTATCCATGAGCTCTTTAGCTCAAGTTAGCGCTCTACTGCTTGAGCCACAGCACCACTTTGTGTTTTCTGAGTGGTATATTGGAGATAAGAGCCTCATGGACTTTCCTGCCCGGGCTGGCTTTGAACTGTGATCCTCAGATCTCAGCCTCCTGAGTAGCTAGGATGACAGATGTGAACTACCAGTGCTTGGTTATAAGCAGAAAAGGCCAGAAATGGTACTGTGGTTCAAGTGGTAGAGTGCTAGCTTTGAACAAAAGAAACTCAGGAACAGTGCCCAGCCCTGATTTCAAGCCCCTACGACTGGCAAAAAAAAAAAAAATAGAGCAGATCCTTTTTTTCCTCTGAAGCATTAGAACAAGCTTGGTTCATCCACTAATGGCGGCTGTCAGCGGCAGTGGCTGCCAGGGAGAGACATCGGGTGACAGAACAGGGAACTGCGGTTTCGTGGGGGAGTTGAAAGCATGTGAACTTGACTTTTGCCCTTTCTTGCTCTTACTTCACAATTTGAACCAGGACATGCCAGCCACGCGCAGTTCACTGGAGGACCACGGGAAGGGCGAGGAGTGTGACTCAAGGCAGTAGGCACTTGTCTGAGGCCCTGGGTCCTAGTCCCAAGAAGACATGCAAAGGTGGCTCAGCGGTACAGTGCCTGCCTTGCATGCATGAGGTCCTGGGTTCGATTCCTCAGTGCCACAGAAGCCGAAAAAGCTGGAAAGGGTGCTGTGGCTCAAGTAGTAGGGCACTAGCCTTGAACTGAAGAGCTGATGGCCAGCGCCCAGGCCCACAGTTCAAGCATCACGACCGACAGGAAAAAAAGAAAAAGAAGAATCAGCTCAGGGACAGTGCCCAAGCCCAGAGTCCCAAGAGGCTAAGAGAAACTGAGTCTGAAGAGGAGAAATTAGAAACGAGGTGTCACATGCCAGGAATGAGAGAGAGAGGAATGGGCAGCAGGAGAGTCATGCAGTTTGGGGCACAGGGTTCAAGTGGCACCGTGTGGTCGCAGTCTGGAAGGATCTACACGTTCAGATGGGAGGGCTCCAGGTCTATAGGGAGCCAGGGCGGGTGTGAGCGTGGGGGAGATCGTCCTTGAGCAAGGCGGGAACGGCCTGTGGAGGGAGGACCGGCCTCTGCGGCTGAACTGGCGGAGCGGGGGGTGGTTCCAGCCGGGAGCGGGGCGGGGCGGCCCGGGAGAGAATCCAGACACAGAGTTTCCTCTGTTCTCTTGACCTCAAGTGAAACTTTGGGGCTCATGAATTTTTCAAGCAAGCCTAGAGTTTCAGATTCCAGGGCGCTGGGCCCAGGGCTTTTGGGGGTTCTGTTTACTGCCTCAAACCGTGTGAAGGCCTCAGGAGAGGCGATTGTTCCACGACTCAGTCTCGCCTAGGCTGAGCCTCACAACCAGCGCGGGAGCAGGAAAATGGTAGCAATGTGGCGCCCGCCCCCTAGTGGGCAGATGAAGGATAAATCCTGGCGCTGGACTTCTCTACCTCGGCCTCTTCTGGCTGAGTGGTTTTATTGTTTTATTTTGATTGACTGATTGATTGATTTTTGCCAGTTCTGAGGACTGAACTCAGGCCTCAACACTGTCCCTGAGTTGCTGCTGCTTCCTTCTTCTTCTTCTTCTCCTTCTCCTTCTCCTTCTCCTTCTTCTTCTTCTTCTTCTTCTTCTTTTGGGTCCAGTTGTGGGGCCTGAACTCTGGGCCTGGGCGCTGTCCCTCAGCTCTTCAGCTCAAGGCTAGAGCTCTACCACTTGAGCCACAGTGCCACTTCCAGCTTTTTTTCTTTTTGCTCATGTGGTGCTGAGGAATCAAACCCAGGGCCTTAGGCATGCAAGGCAAGCGCTCTACCACTGAGCCACCTTCCCAGCCCCGCCTCCTCCTCCTCCTCTTCTTCTTCTTCTTCTTCTTCTTCTTCTTCTTCTTCTTCTTCTTCTTCTTCTTCTTCTTCTTCTTCTTCTTCTTCTTCTTCTTCTTCTTCTTCTTCTTCTTCTTCTTCACTCAAGGCTGGCACTCTACCACTTGAGCCACAGCACCACTTCTGGCTTTTCCTGTGTATGTGTTACTGAGGCTTCATGCATGCTAGGCAAGCACTCTGCCACTGAGCCACCTTCCCAGCCCCTCTGGCTGAGTGATTTTGTGAAATTCACTGACCCTCTCTAAGCAGTGTCAGCCTTTTCTCATTTAAAATATTCTGGGGCTGGGAGCCCTTCAGAGTTCTGTATAGTTCTGTGTAGAATGCACGCCCTCTCAACCTGAGGTTAAACCAAGTGTGGTGGTGCATGCCTGTAATCTCAGCTACTTGGGATGCAGAAATAGGAAGGTCAAACATTCATGTCCAA